ATGAAGTTGCCTCCTGGCTGTGATTCGATGTCAGGAAAAATTGTCCGTTTGAACAAGAGTTTGTACGGTTTGAAGCAAGCATCTAGAACATCTTATAAGAGGCTCGTGTCGGACCTGCTTTGGATAGGTTTCGAGCAGTCTCTGTCTGATCCCTGTGTCCTGCGTTTCATGATGGGAGACGAGGTGATGGGTATATTCGCTATTCATGTGGATGACATTCTGTATGCAGGAACGAAGAGGCTTGCCGAGGTGATTGTGGAGGCGCTAGGTGACTCTCTTCCTACGAAGAATCTGGGAGAAGTCAGATTCTTTCTTGGTTGCGAAATTAGTCGCGACCGCGAGGCTGGCACGATTGAGATTTCTCAAGAGAGCTACATCAGGAATGTTCTAGAGAGATTCAATATTTGTCGGACCAGCTCGATCCCCGCTTCCCCTGCCAACGATAGCAGGTCCGTGATGGAGGATGAGGAGGCAGGAGATGTGCCGTTCAGGGAAGTGGTGGGATGCCTGATGTGGATCGCCAACAATACGAGGCCAGAAACTTCGAACGCTGTGCGGACGGTGGCGAGACACTCTCACGAGCCCAAGAAGAGTGACTGGAAGGCAGCCCAGAAGATTTTGAGTTATCTTAAGGAAACGGCACATCTAACTCTGAAGTACAAGCAGGACACTACGGTAGACGTAGGCACGTTAGTGTACGTAGACGCTGACTTTGCCAGCAAGGCCACTGACCGTAGATCAGTTTCTGGAGCATTAGTTCTTGTAGTTGGCTGTCTTGTGTCTTGGTTTTCTTGGACGCAGAAATGTGTCTCACTGTCAACTTCTGAAGCAGAGTATATTGCGATGGGTGACGGTGTTAAGGAGGCTTTCTTTGTGAACGGGATGCTTCAGTTCTTGAGACCTAGTGCGAAGCCTCGGAAAATTGACGTCTTTGAGGACAACGAAGGAGCGATTGCGCTTGCAGAGAATCCGCTTAGCTCGAGTAGGAGTAAGCACATTGACGTGAGGCACCACTTCCTTAGGAATTTGACGGAGGAGGGCGTGATCGAGGTCACCCATGTCCCAAGCAAGGAGCAGCATGCTGACATCCTCACAAAGGCTCTACCGAGAAACCTTTTTGAGTTTCACCGTGACTTTGTCCTTGGCTCAGTAGCTGAGAAGTAGAGATCTGAATTAGTATCTGATTTTGTATTATTAGGTCTGGTCGAGACGACAGCCCCAAGGGAGGGTGTTCGTGAATTGTGGCTGAAGTATCGAATGTATGACGTGTATTGCGGTGTAGTAGGTGATACTTGGTATTGGAACGAAACGTAACACAAAGGTCAGTAGATTGCAGCGAGTAGATTGCAGCGAATAGATTACAGCGAGTAGATTTATTGCTGAGGAAAAGCTGTAGCGAGAAGCCATGGGGAGCGCAGCCCACCGTGCTCACTCCACCTGGCCGACCTGTCTCTCCGGGCAAGTTCTCATTAATACACCACATTTTTCTCCAGAAGTCACGAGTTTCCAACATGTCTGCTGCGGAAAGCGCTGCCAGCAGACCAAAACGCAAGAATCGTACAACTTCGGAGAAAAAAAGCATGGTTGCCGAGCTGCTCAAGGGCAGCAACAACGGGGTTTTGAGCCATATTGCCGGATATCTCTGATATGCCGGGGATGACATTCCAGCATCCCCGGTTAGCCCATGACATTTTTTTTTAGGGAGGGGCTTCGTACGTCATGCAATGACCGTGGACGGCGATAGAGCGATTTCGATCACCAAAATAGCCCTCTGCGCTTCAATAGTCCAAACCGGAACTATATTGCCGGATGTCCAAATCGGTACTATATCCCCGGACAGACTGGTACGTTTTCTGAGGGGGTTTGGTATCTAATGAAAGTGTGATATCTTATGCAACCTACGGTACTCTGCACAATATACGAGAGTCGAGAAGCGGGAAACAACTGTTGGAAACTTTGCGGTTACCACATTTCGCGAAACCCGCCATGGTCTTGTCCGTCGTGAACTCTCCCTTTCGAGTCTGATCGAGGTAATCATCCCCCACCGAATGCCCTCGAAGCCATGGCAGCATATGCATACAACCTGAAGAATGCGGAGCGCCCGCGGTGTGATAATACACTCGCAGCATCGATCGTGTCATGTGTGCATAGTCTACATGGTGTACAGGCACTGGTGGCAGGGTGTTGCCGACGAACGGGAGAGGAGAGGGCATGTGTGCACCTCGGATGGTGCAACACACTTCAGCTGCACTGCGATTTAACACTTGTAGACATGTAGGCCACTTCTGCTAAAACTGCAGGAAGATTGCGGATACGGCGTATGTCCCCTCATCGTCATGATGGTCGGCATGTGCATGACCAATACTTCTTTGCCTTGACTTTTGTATGAGATGATTGACTGCAGCACTTTATCCATGCTACGTCTTTCCTCGTGCCCTCTCCTTCTCTCCTCTGCCCCCCTTCACTTGTGTGACGGGATGGCGGCATGACCCCCTGCTTCTTTGCAAAAAGTCAAGGTACTGCTGTGCTGGTGATACTGCTCGTAGCTCTGGAGCACATCACCGGCAACAGCAACAGTGTCGCCCGCTCATTGGCTGGTCGTCGAACAGTCCCATAAAAAAATGTGTAAGTTGTAAACACGTACGTATGCTGGGATGCTGGGAATATGCACATCAGCTGATGATCTGATGATGCACATATGCGTACCGAGCACTCCCCATCCAAGATGACCTTCCTACGGCCGCTCTGTTTGCTGTCGTTGGCTCTACGAAATGCTTCTGGGGCTCAGTCCTGCAGCCGACTCCGTCGCCGGACAAATCCAGCTCTAGCGGCGTTCGCCTCTTCACCTTTCTTGATTACCCGAGCGGCAGCTCTACACAACGGGGCTTGGCGATGGCGACCCGAACCAGCAGCGCACAGGTGGTCCACCAAAGAAGAGAGAAGAGAGGAGGGAAACCAGACTTTGCCTTCTTTTTTCCCATGCCTGTGTCCTTAAAACCCTCATCTAGCAACCCCTTGATCGCTGTTTGGCGACATGCGATGCTCCTCGTGTTGGGGATCAGGCTGTTTGCTGTTTGTCCCCAAGATGTCTGTGCTTGCACTCCAACCAGCAAACCATTGTACTCTATTGCTTGCTCTCTGTGTTGTCTAGCCGATAAGCTGGTTTCATGTTCGGTCAATATCGATTACACACGCCGTTATTGCGCAGATTTGTTGTCATTCCGCAATGTCAACTTGAGTCGCAAGCGATACTCTGCGTTGCATGCGACGTGCTCCCAGCTGAGGAACGCGTTTAAGGATTTTAACTTTTTGCAGTGATGTTCGTTACCGCACTTTGAAGAAATTACATGCGCGTAATTCCCTTTTTTTGGCAAGTTGGATAACTTACGCCAATTACGGCAACACCGGGAGGCCCGAATCACCAGGGGGAAGGTGAAATCACCGGGGGGGGACGTCGAATAACCAGGAGGGAGCATAGAAACAGCGGACCAGCAGGGCGGGGGGAGGGGGGGGCGTACTCTCATGTTTTGCATGCCTTAGCGGTTAGACCATTGACCACGCGTCCTCGAGAGGAAGGAGCATTGTTCCCACAGGACCGATTACCGATGGCCAATCATGCCTTTCTACTTTGCCAAAGGTGGCTCAAAAATGCCTTCCCTAGTCTGTCTATCCTGACGATATCCCTTCCCGCCTTTTCAAACCACTTCTTACTCCCCAGTACAGCTAACGTTCTTTGCTCTCTACTTCATGCCTCAAACATCTCCCTGTACGTCCCATATATTTTTCCCAGCTCAGCCATGCACACTTCCCTCTCTCTTCGTACCACTGACATTCCGCGACTACATGAACACGGTCTTCGCATTCGAAGCCGCAATCACGTTTGATCTTGTCGTCTTCCTCGTCTACTGTCCTATGTCTTCACCGATGTTCTCGAAGGCCTATGTCCCCCGTACTTAATTTGGGCTTGAGCTTTGTTCCTGCATTCATTGGTCTGTGTAGGTAATCCTTGAACCCTATTCCTTCTTTCAGCATGCCGCACACTTCTAGACCCTCCTTAAACTTGGTTTCTTTCCTCAGATTCTGTTCTCTCTCGGCACAAGCAACAGATATCTTCTCCTTGAACCCCTTGAGAGGCTCCGTTTCCAGCGTTTCATCTTCGTCGATGTAGAGCCCCTTCCATATGTCCTCTACAACCTTGACCCATTTCGTGGGTTGTCTACCCCTCTTTTTGTTTGCCCACTTCGTCTCCCATACTATTCTCGGCAACCTCTCCCCTCCCATCCTGCACATGCAATACTGCCATGTCAGCTTCCTTGCGTCTCTTCCCGACCGTAGGGATGGGATCCCCAATCCTGCCCTGACGGCTGCATTACTTGTGCGCTTGGAGCATCCTAGGATGATTTTCGCTGCTTTCATCTGCGCCGCCTCGAGTTCCTTACAACCTTCTTATTTCCTTCCCATACTTCTCCGGCGTACTCTAGCGGCGGTACAATTATGCTCTTCAAAACCGTCAGTTTGATGCATGTATGGAGGCGCCGGTTTGCCAGTATTGGGTGTAGCTTCCCTGCTCGTGATTTGCCCTTTTCCGCTACCTTGGACATGTGTGCATTCCACGAGCAGTCTTTTGCGATCTCTACTCCAAGGTATGTGTACTGGTCCACTACTGCAATCTCCTCGATCCTCCACTTCCATCTATATTCTACTGGTTCCTCCTTGTTCTCGTTGCATCCATGGCGGCACTCTTGTTAACGTT